CACAGATCAAGCTCTGTTTACAAGCAAAAGCAATCCAAAACAGTTCTAAACAAAAATGCTGGTGGATTTTGTTGTGAGAGGACAACAGGGGATGGCATTTTTCACTGGAAGAAATGTTACTATTGATTATGGATTAGTATTTTGGCCAGAATCAATGGTGTGAAGTTAAAAAACCTTAATGATGGATTTGTTAAGGGGCTAATAAATATTGTTGCTCTTTTGTTAGTTTTGACTGCTTTTATTGTCCTCATTTGTAAGTCGCTTTGGATAAAAGCGTCTGCTAAATGACTAAATGTAAATGTAAATGTAAATTTGTTTCTTACAAACATGCAGCTTTTTGCTTCACAAGACTTTAATTGATCGACCAAAGGCATGTTGTGGATTATTGTGATTATTGTTTTTATCAGTTGTTTGGACTCTCATTCTGACGGCACCCATTCACTACAGAGGTGAGCAAGCGATATAATGCTAAATTTCTCCAAATCTGTTCCAATGAAGAAACCAGTATAAATATGGTATGATAAACAACCCTTTTTGTGTTATCCAGGCTTTTTGCTTCCCATTATCCTGGGAGTTCAGGAGTCAGTCGGTTCTCAATCACACTGAAGGCTAATTAGACAGAACTCCTCTCAGGTAACTCTCACGGCAATTACATAAGACTGCATTTCTCATAAACATCAGCCAATTCGGGATAAAAATAGCTTAATTGCAAAACACTTTTTTGACTGACAGCTTTTGATTGACAAGCTATTAGGTAATTGTTCATGACAGCTGATTAGTCTATGACAAGTATTATTCAAATATCACAGCATCTCCCAGGAAACCAAAGCAAAGCAAGTTCTTGTCGACATGCAAAGTGATACCTCTGTGTGACAAATATACGATTAAATTCATTACATGAAGTATTGACACAAGTATGGAAATGACTTAACACTTTTCTCACAAATTGCACAATGTGTAAATATTTTCCCTGTAGATTACAGGGGTTTGAGTACAAATTCTGGCAATATCAGTGAAAGCTGACTGAATTGAGAAATTAAACCGTGAAGTTCTGAAAATTATTTTGTTCAGAGTCTACAAATGTAGAGTATGTACACTATACCGGTCAAAAGTTTGGGCATGCTTTAGTTGCTTTTAATTTTCTCATGAAATTTTACAAACTTATGTTTATGCTTATACTTGAAATAATTTTGAAGCAAAATCAAATAAAATAAAATAAAACAATAAAATATTCAAGGAAAAGCAGCCAACCAGAATACAACATACAGCTGAACTGCAACAATAATGTTTTAAAAAATAGTTTTTAGGTAATTAATAATATAATAAAACAAGATCCAGAAAAAATTCAACTCCTTCAATGAAATTAAAAATAAATAAATAAATAAATAAAAATAAAATAAAATAAAAACAGTCATGGAAAAGCAACCATCTGAACTGCAAAAATACATTAAGCTTGTTTTTTAAAATTAATTAATAATGACAAAACAAAAACCATTTAGCACACATTTAAACCATTCATAAAATAAAATAATAAAATAAAATAAAATAATAAAATAAAATAGTAATTTCCATACTTTCACATGTAATAATAAAAAAAATAAGTAAGTGTGTCCAAACTTTTATTATAACTTTATGTATAAAAATTATTTCAACTGAAATTGGTTGGCTTTTGTGCCCATCAAAGTATTTGGCTTATACATATTCCAGTTTGCACAATGAAACCCTAAGATACTTAAAGAATATTTAAAACGAAATAAATTTATTAGGCATATCAGTGGAGTCACTAATGTGACTCGAAATGAAAACGCACAGTTCCAGCTACCCAAACAGCAGTTAGCACCTAATAAATGTTGTCAAATCAAACTCAAATCACTCGCTGACCCAGGGTCCACACAAATAATTAGCCTCCAGTAGGACAGTTAGTCCTCCGTACTATCAGTGACCTGCAGCACACTGGCACACGGTTCACCCTTTAACCAACACGCGCACACACACTTCCACACTGATAATGCACCCGTGATAAAGGCCCATCAGGCTGAATTGCCCACAGCTGCGGGGCCCCTTGTTGCGCTGGCAGCATTGCCCCTGTCATCGAGAGCGTGCGCCTATCTGACCTGCTAATTTGGAGCATATGCAAGTGCTCTTAAAGTGCCGGGCCTTTTGACATGCCACAAACAGCAGCTGCCACAGCTGCCCTCCAGAAGCTTCATTTAATTCAATTACATCTCTGGGAGATATGTAAACGAGCTCAGGCTCGGAGAGAGGGTGCAGCCGTCAGGGGCTGGAGGGTGTGTAGGGGGTCTAAACCCTCCTCTCCCCGATGCACCGGAGTCATTCACCCCGAAGCTCGCCCGCATTCGCAAGTGTGCGCTCCCCCCACCCCCTCCGAAGTGTCAAGGCCCAGGTGGCTTGATTGGGCAAATGATTGGGTGAGGCGGTCACACCAACCCCCTCCGAACGTCAGCACCACCTTTGCAGGGAAGGCCTGGCACCGGGGTGTTTGGATGCGGGTGGGAGGTTTAATCAGGGTCACGGCGTCTCCTATCACTCTGATCAGTGCGACTCAACCCCCGGGCAGCCCTGCAATTAATGCAACTTTCAAGAGAAGAAGGGGGAGATAAATATCTACCATCTGGCAATTAGGGCTCACAGGGCTGAACAACCGTTTGTGAGACAATTCTTCATGACACTAGCAAGAAACGGTGCTTGATACTGGCCTGAAGCCCACGAGCGAGAGCGCTGAGGCTTTTGAAAGTGGCGTCCTGTAAAAGCCGAGGCTATTGAGGCGCATCTCTCATTCTTTCAATAGAGGTTTGATCATGGTTCTTCTGTAGCGTCTTTTTGGCGTGCGTTCGGGGCACCGACCCCCTCCAGCTGTTGGCTGTGGTGGCGCGTGGCTGAAAGAAGCCCAGATCGCGGTGATCAAATTAGCTCCCCCCTCCTCACGGGGGCACAAAGGTTGTCAATGTGCTCTGCGTCGCATTTCAGCGGCTCATTGATGTTATGATTACTCATTTAACCAAACAATGAGTGCCAAGCAGCCCTCGTTGAATGCCCTCTCGCGTGAATAGAGAGAGCTGCTTGTTGAAAGATAGTGATTTAATAGGAGAACTGATTCTTTTCAGCTTTTTTTCCCCTTCTTCTCCTCCTCACGTATTGTGAAACACAAATGGAGGGAGAACAAATACAGTGATTAGAGAGACAATTAATCCCAATTATTTGAGTTGCAAATTCAAGACCTTTGGCAACACCAAAATGTGGGAAACAAGAGGTCTGGGCAAAGTCAAGAGCGGCATGAAGAAAACAGGAAAGAAGGGGACCCTGAGCTCGAGGTCGGACAAAATAACAAAGCAGCGAAACCTAGAATTATATTACAATTCCATTCCATTACAAAAGAGATTTCAAGAGACTGCTTAAGTAGGTAAGCATATTGTCTCTCCATGAGATGATAACATCAAATAACCTCAGACCTCAAGATATCAGCCTTACAAGGGAATAAAACGAATTAAAAAAAATAAATAAAGAAGGAAAGAAGGGGACTCTAATACCGAGGTCGAACAAAATAACAAAGCAGCGAAACTTTGAATAATTTGCCATTCCAATACCAACGATATTTAATGATCTTTCAGTCAAAATTAGGTAACTGTACTGTCTCTCCATAAAGAGATAACATCTTGACTAATTTTAAACCTCAGAAAAAAACTAAATAAAATAAAAACAAAACAAAATGTTTTTTTTATTTCATGGGAATATATCAGCAAAAATAAAATAAAATAAAATAAATTAAAATAAAATAAAATAAAAAATTAAATTGCAGCTAGCCAGAATGTAATATACATTTGAACGGCAAAAATACTGTTTATAATGCATTAGGAATTATGGGTTTTTAAATAATTAATCAATTAATAGTACTTTTAAGTACTTTTTATTAAGGTCAAGCATAAATTAAATTAAATTAAATTAAATTAAATTAAATTAAATTAAATTAAATTAGGGGTCCATCCTGAACTCCTTCAATGCTGTTTAAAAGGCTTCTCAGGATGCACATCATTGAGTTGGATGAGAGAATAAACCCATGAGCTGGATTAGTTTACGAAACATTTTGTGGTTAAAACGAAGAAGAAGGACAAGGGAAACAAGAATCAAATTTATTGATCTTAAATGGTCTCCACCTCACTCTTCACCCAGGTCCAGGTCTGATCTGTTGACCTCGATCTTGCACTAATTGCCAATGTGCCTTCAGCATCCCGCCGCTGTTGTGCTTCCCCATAAAGGGATAATTACACACTTTGAATTATTAAGCATCATTATCAAAACTCGCGCTTAACTTGTTTTGCTCTACTGTACGGTTCCTCTGATCTTCGGCAATCATTACTTATTAAAAGGACTGGATGCTTTTTCCCAGCTGGAATATGTAGAATCGTGGCTTAATAAAGCAGCTATACCGCAAGCCCTCGGATCTAAACTTCAGTTAAGCGACAAGAAAATATTAGGGTAACTCGCCGGCACTGCCGCCCTGGATAACGAGCAGAAGTCTAGTTATTGGTTCAACTGGATTCATTATCATAGTGGCAGATTAATTAAACTAGTATTTTGAATTGGATGTGTATTTAACAGCGAAGCCCAGTGTTTATAAAGTCTGTTTCTCCAGGGCCCAGGCGACAGCGGCAGCTGCGTTTTAAGTCATTTATCATGCTGTCAGAAGGAAAGCTGTCCATGAAAAGTTTCAACCAAATGATCGAAGCAAACATTTGACATGTCTTATGTTTAATACATCATTTCTAAATGTAACAATGAGGAAGGATCATGTTGGAGAAGTTTGAAACTGTGACTTACAACAAGCTACTCATTATGAACTTCACAGGGCAAAAACACACTTGTGGGCTTTCCTACAATTTTATCTTAACTGAATCATTGCTCTCATGATATAAACGGCAATAGGTGGTCTTGTCCAAATGAAAAAGATTACAACACTTGCATCTGTTTTTTTAAACCCACAGGTGGTCATATGTGGATATATCTGGACCGTATGCTATAACAGACACCTGGGCCTAAATTTAGTAACAGTGAAAATGCAATTAGTTCTGCAAATACCAAGAAATCTGCCAGCATCAAAACCTGGAGGGAGAAGAGTCTATTTATGCCTCTGCTTGTGAGTTTTAGCACTGAGAATAACACATAAACACATGGTTATTATGAAAGGCTACAACCAGAGCGGTTATCGCACGTCCAAACACCTTAACCTACCTGCTGAAGAGGCTTTTTATGAGAGTTCAGCACACAAACACAAGAAGCTGTTTATGTTCAGGTCTGAACATGGGGTCAAGCTTTCGCTGGTTAGCTTCAGAAATTTGCCCCTGCTGGTAGATGCCATAACTACACCAATCTGGAAGGGGGGAAAAGCATATGTATTCATTGATGGCAGTTCGAAAGTAGCCATGTTCACTATTCTGATGAAATACAATTTTATACAACACATTAATTGCAAATATGAAATTAATGAATTCACACAATTATGTACAAATGAAATTACAGACAACTCATTAATCACAGTTTCTATTTGCTAGAACAACTGTTTGACATTTTTGTGCTATACCTTTTACATTGTTGCTGTAACTTTATTCACAAAATAAAGTTTCATAGGATAAAGCTCTAAAAATCCATTAAATATCCTAAATTTGCCATTGGGACAACTTACCCCATAGAGTGTTATAACATACTCTGCTAATGTTGACAAAAGTTCAGTATGTTCAATATTCATAACTGAATATTTTTTTCTGGGCAACAATGATGGGAATGTTCAATAGCTATTTGTGCCTATATTAAATGACTTTCAAAACAAAACCAGACCAAAAAAAAAAAAGCAGGGCACGTAGCTTCTGTCTCTGCAGGAAGATGTTGTATACATCATTCTGGAGGCAAAAGCATCAATGACGACAGTTTAAAAAAGTAGCTGTATATTCTGATAAAATACAATTTTATGCAAAATATGAATTGCTAATATTTAAATCACAAAATTATATCACATAAAATATTTCAATATTCAATTATACTAAACCAGTTGCTAAACAGATTTTTAAAGGGGCCATTACTGTGATATGGACACTATATAATTAATATTTATATATAGGCTATCATTTTTATTATGTACTTATTTGCCATCAACCAATCAGCATTTTCCTGTGGCTACAGAGTAAAATAAAAAAAATAAAAAATAAATAAAAAACCTTTCATGTCTGCTAAAATGTATTAATTATTATAATTTTTTTTTTTTTTAATTGCATTGCTAAGAACATACACAATCAATGCCAGGGGTACATACAATTGAAAGTACAAATGCAGGTTACAAAATCAGGAAAATATTGTACAAATGACACAATGAGACAGTTTGAAGGGCTTTGGAGTTACTGGATGTAAGGAGAGTGTCCAGATAAGATTTAAGTTCCTTATGAAAAATAAAAAAGTAAGGCTTAGCACCCTGAAATTTACATTTATGTAAGAAAAATTTCGCTAGAAAAATAAACAAATTTATCAAGAAATATTGGTCCTTTGCATCTTTATCAAAATTGTGCTGACCAAATAAAACATCTTTGTATAACAAAGAAAAACTTTGTGATGAAAATGTGCGTACAAAAATACAGAAATCCATCCAGAACATACTTGTATATGAGCATTCCCAGATGAGATGAGAAATAGATTCATCTTCAGCACCACAAAAAGAACATAAAGAGTCAATATCAGGAAACATTCTTTTTAAGTAAAGCTTTACAGGATAAAAAAGATGAAGTAATTTGTAGGACACATCCTTGACCTTATTGGTTATTAAATATTTAGACGACAAAGTCCACACTTTCTTCCATGGAATGTTGATAAACTGGCCATTCCAGTAGGACACAATGTACTGGAGAGAAGCAATCTCATTCTGAAATAGCTGTCTAATTCTACTGTTCCGACCAGAAGAGTTCGATAAAAAACAAATATTCCCAATCATTGTATCAAAAGGATGAGCAACTGACAAAGAAATCTGGGATCTAGCTGAGTCTCTGAGAAGAGTTATTGCTCCATAAGGAATGGCATCCATTACTATAGCAAACTCTCGTGGAGTGACAGGTATGTTATACTTGTTCAAAAACTCTGAATATGAATACAAGTGTCCATCAGCATTGATTAATTGAGAGACCAAAATAAAATTATTATTCACCCAATCTGGGAAAAACAATGACTTATTTTTATAAAGAATATCACAATTATTCCAAATAAAGTACCGGTGAGGACTAAAATTGTGCTTATATATAAGGTGCCAGGCCAAAAGTGCTTGTTTATGAAAATTTGATAATTTAAGGGGCAATTTAGTGATGTTGTAGTTGCATAACAATAAGAAAGGGAGACCTCCCACCTTAGAAAAAACAAGATTAGGAAGAATATTCCAGAATGAAAAAGGGTTTGTTAAGTACTGTTTTAACCAATTTATCTTGAAAGTATTATTTAAGGAAGTAAAATCTAGAAAGTTTAGACCACCACATTCATAATTATTAATAACCACAGACTTTTTAACATAATGCCTCTTATGCTTCCACAGAAAATCAAATAGCATTCTGTCAATATCTACACATGTAGATTTATCCACGTATAAGGAGAGAGCAGGGTAAGTCATTCTTGAGATACCCTCAGCTTTAGCAATAAGGGTTCGTCCTCTAAGAGATAAATCTCTTAGTAACCATGAATTGAATTTCCTTTTAGTTTTCTCAACAACTGGGTCAAAGTTCAGTCTGCCTCTGACTTTATCATCCTTACATATGGATACACCCAGATAGGTCACCTGTGACTTAACTGGAATACCGTAAAGAGAGGGAGAAGGCAAAAATGTATTAATACCATAGACTGTATAAAAACATGGACGTAGTGTCCGTGACGTCACCCATAGATTTCCGAAGAGCGTTTTTATACGCCTTGTTCTAACTAATTACAAGAGCTTTTCTTAACCTGTTAGCACTATGCTATGCTAAAAGGTTAAGCTGTTCGCTTGCTTACCAAAGGCTAACTGAAAACAAGGAAAATGTTTCATTTGAACATTTTAGAGTTGGTAATTACCAAATAATGTCTTGATTTAAATGACATTATTTAACATTTTCATTAATAAGACTAAATATATGGCAGAATAATGAATGGGAATGCTAATTGTCCAGGTAGAAAGTATAAGCCTTCCTGGGTCTGTAGGCCTAATATTACATATGTAAAGGGAAGAGTTCAGTGGACTTGTTTGTAATGCAGTGTGACATGCCTGTGTACAATATGACTATGTACGTGCACTTCTGTTTATCGCTAGGCCCGAGAAAAAGCAAAGGAGGCTGCATGCCATAAACATGCGCTACCCAACTCCAACGTCTCCTTCGGCACGCACTCGTAGCCAAACTAAACACCGTGCTATCCTCAGCCAACACGTGTCAGCCGCCTCACCTGTAGATCAGCGCTTCCATACGACAAGTTAAAAAAAAAAGCACCACTTTGTCCCTCTCTGTCCCTTCCTCTTAAGGAGCGGTGCGTGAGTCAGATTAAATAATCATTGGGACCGGGGTGCGTTTCACCTTGGGGACATATTGTCCCCTGTCAGTGGAACCTTCGGGGACAGAAGGCGGCTCGGTGGGGGAGCGTGGTGGGGAGCGCTCCGCTCTGATGAAATGGAGCTGGCTTAATGAAGGCATGGCCCGTGGCTTCCGCAGCTCTGCCATATGTTTCGCCAAATGCAAATGCCCCCCCAAATCAAACAACTTTTTCATCTTGATCTATGCAAATGTGTTTATAAATACGGGCTTATAAATATGGCATTTCACGTTTTAAAGAGCGAACTAAAAACTTCGATACCCCCTCCCTCACCCAATGAAAATGGCCGACGGATGTGGGACGGATTAATGGCGTCCCGTGGGATGGGTATGGCCTGGTGCACATGCTAATACGTGAGCGCAGAAACATGCGTGTTGTCGGTGCATTCGTTTAAACAGAGTTGTTAATGGGGTCAAAGAGTTAACCTGGTTTAAAGTTTTCATTTTTTTTTCTCTACAAACATTATGTCACTTCACTTTTATTTTGCATTACGTGCTAATAGTTTTACAGCACTTTATGTATTTAATGTCTTTATATTTCTGTGTAATGTAGCGTGATATAATTCTATATTATTCTATATAATGTTAAATAATTATTCTATTAAAATCATATTTGACTTTAGTATATTATCTTAATTTTGTTTTTAACTGCACAGATTTTACTTAAAGGTAATTGCAAATATTAGTTCTTCTTATAGTTTTATTAATGCCAGACAAACTATTTCTAAAATTATAGGTTTTTTTTACACTCTCTGTGTAGTTGGCTGGCGCAGAGGTGATCAGACTGTCTAAGATGCAGCAGTAACAGCACCTGAGGCTCCGTCTGGGTGCCAATGTCTTTGTCAAAACCCTCCTGCCCACCTTGTACCAGTCCTGTGTCCAACGACAAACACATGTAATATGGGAATTCATCCAGTTCTGTACAGAAACTCTTAAGAGATTGAAACAAGTACTTGTGCATTTAGAACTACAGCCTAGCAATTTCGAAAGTCTCAGCATAATGGAGTTTCAAAATGACAGAGGCTTTTGAGGCCTAAATTCTGATGATAACAAGCTGTGGCACAAAAAAGCACTAATTGCTATATGATTAAGCAGAAAAAAAGGTTACAGTGTTAAGGAAGGCTGACACAATGACTCAAAAAATGACTTATTTTATGTCATGTCTGACATTCAGACCTACAGTACAAAAACTGGGGCTAGTTGTCACACAGGGAAATAAATATATAACTATAAGGTTGTGATATACTGCAATATGTATATATATATATATATATATATACATATTGCAGTATATAGCGGCATAATATTTCTAGAAAATACAATTTCATAAAGTTCCACAGTCCATTAAATAGCCTACAATTTAACACTCATTTTGACAACTTATCTCATACAGTGTGACAACATGCCCCACTATTGTTGACGAAAGGTCAACATGTGTTCAGTGAAACTTTTTTTCTTGTCCAAAAATGATAGAACTGTTCAATAGCTCTTTTTTTTTTTTTTTTGACCCTATACAGTAACTGACTTTCAAAAATAAACCAGAGCAAAAGTGTGACGAGTAGCCTTGGTCTGACCTATTTAATTACCAGTCAGTCTACCATTGTTACAACTTTTGCGAGCAACTGTAGTCCGATGCGCAGTCCCTGAGCTGGGTCTGATGGAGTTATTGTAACCTACAGGATCACAGTGAGCTCATTAGCCCGTGTGCTCCGGCGCTAATTTGGGGGGTTACGAACTGGATGTTAATTAATCACAAGGCTGGCAGAAAGCGATGGCCTAGCGTGCGGCTGTGGGCGTGCATAACAAGCAGGCTGCCGCGCGCACGAACAAGTGTTTTTGTTTGCGCTGAGCGCGCGAGAGAGAGTGTTATTTGTGTAGAGCCAGACAGAGAGAGAGGAGTGAGAGAGGAAAACAGATTTCAGGCCGAGATTATTTGCAAAGTTATCTAATGACATGTGGCCTTGTAGTTATTTTAATATTTTTGGTCACTATTCAGACTGTATCATTGTGTGTGAATATAATGCATCCACAAATTATATCAAAACGCAGTATATTTTCAGTAATCAGCATAAACTCAAGCAGTCATATATCATGTTTTAGCTATATATATATATATAAATACTACTTTTTGTTCCAAACTGAATTACAATAGACTACACTTTTGACAATATCATTTTTTGTCAGAGTTGGCGTGATGCTTTCTTTCGAGGCGCAATGGCGCCATCTAGAGCATGGAAGTGCGCATGCGCACCATAGAACCCAGCGTTTTACACTGCCATAAACATTATCGTCTAATAAAATAAATAATATTATTAGCTTATTATGTTATGTACGTCAGTATTTCTCTGTTTGATATTGAAAAAACAGATAAAAGTTCTTATTGTTAATATTTGTAAGGGTATTATAACTAAGTAATAGCCTGGGCAGTTAAAACACAAATGCTGTAAATTCAAGGCAGTTAAGTGACTTAACAAGTCGTTTTTTATGATCGGAAACCTACTCGGCATTTAAAAATAAGAGAAAAGAAAACAGTGATTTAAACTCAGTAATGGCAAACATATTGCTTGCCTGATCATCTGACTTGAGAAATTAGCTATTTCTACATTTTGTGTCCAATAGATCTGGGAAATTTATTAATTATAAAATAATGCAAAATAAATAAAATAATGAAATAATTTACATCAGAAAGGATGAGGAATATACAACTTTTTTCCATCCAGGGTCCCAAGAAAAATAATGTGATAATTTATAAGCTAGTCAGTTTATTTTGTCAATGCAAGCATGTCATTGTTCTCTTACGCAGACAAATTAAAGTGTATTTACATTAGATTTCCCCCCTCTTTTAAAATTTTTAAAGCGAAAAAAGGGTAATGATCTTAAGAATTAACTATATATGAAAAACAAAAGTGGCTTAATTGAAAAGTATTCATCCCGCTGTGTTTTATCAACCTAAATTGGGTGAAGAAATCAATTATCATGGGAAGTCACACTAAAGATGTTAACAAGGTACACCTGGGTGTTCATTTCAAGATCAACCTATGTTCAATTCATGAGTACAGTAAATATCACTCTCTCATAACTAAAACAGTGGTTGTTAGAAAGAGAATGTTGGAAAGGTCTGGGAAAAATACAGATGCTACAAAAATCACGCCACATCAATTTTAATGGGAGAAAATGACATCTGGACAGTGGACACTTCAGAGCTTCACAGATTCATCTTCTTTGGAAAGCTACAGAAAGCCACTAAAGCAATTTGGAAGAAAACTGAGACTTTCATGAGACTAAAGCTGAACTCATTGGCTTGAAAGCAATTGCATTTGGCACAAACTAATTATTGCACAACACCAAAGCAACACCACCCCTACTGTTAACCATTGTGGTGCACATGCTGATTTTCAGGAGGAGAACCTGGAAAAGCTTGTTGCCATCAAGATATTATATATCTATCCATCCATCCATAGATACATACATACATAGAAACTAAAACTAAAAATATTAAAAATAATTTTTGGTAATTTAGATAATATATAACATAACATAATCATATTAGATGAAAAAAACTTTTAAAAAACGTAAATGAAAATTTGAAATGTTTCCTTGTCAACTAAGATATAAAAAAAATGCTGTAAATATTATTGGGTTTTTTTTGTTTGTTTGTTTTTTACAAAAAACATTACTCTTTCTACTTAAAAATTTGTTACATGCCATTTCGTTGTAATTATTTGTGAAATTTACTAGCAATTTCTGAGTGAAAATTATATTACCACTAATTTGTTTGGTGTAAATAAGTTAAATGCATATTGAGTAGAGTAGAAGGAGATGACAGAGGCTTTGTTTACTTTTTAAATTGTTTTTATTCCTGAGCAATGATTCAAACACACTTTTTTCTATTTAAATCTTTTTTTTTTTAAACCTACTAACTAAAAAACTATTAGTACATGTTTCCTTCCCACCTCCTTTAACTGCAATTAGAAGGAAGTAATGACAACTTATTACCAGTAGGGGGCAATGCAGCTTTCTACAGCAACATATAGGCCTACACCATATTCTTAAAGGCACTTAGGCCCAATCCCAATTCTATTTTATACCCCTTCCCCTTCCCCTCCAACCTACCCCTTCCCCTTGTCCTTTGAAACAGAGTGTCAAGGGGTAGGGGTGAAAATATTCCCCTAAGAATTGGGACACCACTACTATACGTCACACGTCATCATACGTCGTCTAGCTCCTACAATACACACACCTATACTGGTGTGCTGGTGTGTGCATTAGAGCCTTTAATTACTGTTCGATATTAATGCGTTGCTTACTGACACACACACACACACAGTTTTGGTGTAATAAATATTGATTTTGTTCAGGACATAATTAGTGCTGTGCGCTTTGAAGCCATGAGCGTGGGCAAACATTTTCACCAGCCTCAACAGTGCGCTGTGACGTCCTCCAGGGATTAAAGTTACTGCAGAGTCCCTACAGCACAGCAATTATGCTATATGCTAATAATGATTGCATCTCTCTGCTTCTTTTGCCTCTTAGTTCGGCTGATTAGACTGTCAACGTCACTGCTGCAGTACAGCTAAACCCACATTTACAGCCTCCTCACACAGAGTAGGCTTTTAACTTTTGTCTTTCAAAAGACCGTTTTTAAGCGATAAAACATGAGTGTTTTTGTCTGCCATTAGTCTTGCTTTCATGGGACTGTTCTCGATTACACATGTAATTGTTATTTTCCTGTAACATGTTATGAATATGAGAACTTTTGATTGAATTTAACATACACACACTGTGATAAAACATATAAGTGACTAAGGCCCAATCCCAATTCTACCCCTTAGCCCTTCTCCTTTCCAAAAGAGAATTGAGACACCCCTACCCCGTCACGTGAACGCGCGAAACGGAGGGGTAGGGGAAAGGAGAAGGGCTAAGGGGTAGAATTGGGATTGGGCCTTAGTCACTTATATGTTTTATCACAGTGTGTGTATGTTAAATTCAATCAAAAGTTCTCATATTCATAACATGTTACAGGAAAATAACAATTACATGTGTAATCGAGAACAGTCCCATGAAAGCAAGACTAATGGCAGACAAAAACACTCATGTTTTATCGCTTAAAAACGGTCTTTTGAAAGACAAAAGTTAAAAGCCTACTCTGTGTGAGGAGGCTGTAAATGTGGGTTTAGCTGTACTGCAGCAGTGACATTGACAGTCTAATCAGCCGAACTAAGAGGCAAAAGAAGCAGAGAGATGCAATCATTATTAGCATATAGCATAATTGCTGTGCTGTAGGGACTCTGCAGTAACTTTAATCCCTGGAGGACGTCACAGCGCACTGTTGAGGCTGGTGAAAATGTTTGCCCACGCTCATGGCTTCAAAGCGCACAGCACTAATTATGTCCTGAACAAAATCAATATTTATTACACCAAAACTGCTCACTGTAAACAGGAGACTCGAGTCTCCGGGGGGCCTTTATCAGAGCTGAAGAAATGTGGTTGTGTCTGGATTGTGTATGGTGCTCGCCGATCAGGCCTACACTTTGTAGTCTATAATTCTGCTAAGAAAAAAAAAAACGAAGTCATATTTGATTGTTAAGTAAATATTTTACATTGCTTTAAAACATGTTGGTGCTACATTACAAAAAGAAAGCAAGCTACAAATTGCATAGATATACATAGATCCATATGTGTTTTTATCAAACACCAACATTCCACTGCTTTCCGTGGGAAAGTTTAAGCAGAAGAAATACCACTTCAGAAAATATATGGAATTTTTAGTGTCACACAGTTATGCCATATGATACATAAGCTGCTTAGGGGTTTTTACTGAGTGAAACCGACCTAGTCATTGTCACGTGATTTTCCTGTACAAAAACAAACTTTGAAATTTTCAACATGATTTCACTTTGCTTTGTATGTTAAAATGTGTTTATGCATTAAGCACAAACTAACAACAAACACATTTTATAGCTTTGGTCATGTTAATTTATAAATACACCATTGCTCAATGTTAGTTCAGTAATATTAATCTATACAACTTTAAATGTTAACAAAAATACATTAGATTATGTAGGCTAGAAAATAACTATCTAATACTACTAAAATTGTTGGTTCATGTTAACTGCTGC